CTCCCCCGTCCTTCTTTAACTCGCCGCCCCACCATGCTCACCAGCTCCAAAAGCACGACGATGAGCGTTTGATCGCGTTCGTCGGCCGTGATGCGGTCGACGAGGTGCTCCAGGAAGTCCACTGCGCGCTCGCCCCCGCGGCTGCCGACCACCCCGATCGCGAGGGATATGGACGACCTGCTGCCCCGCCTGGTCGGGTCCCCGACGAGGCCATCGCCGAGCAGCACGATGGGCCGCAAGGAGTCTCGAGACTGCAGCAGGTGCGGTAGGAGCTGGTACACGTCTGGCACCCGCACCCGCGCGTCGTCCTCCCTGTCGCCCGGCTCGTCACACGACGGCCGCACTATGACGGCGGGCGGGCGCAGCTGGCAGGGGCGCACCCGGTCCTCCTCGGCACGCCGACCTGGGCCGTTCAGTGAACTGATCTTTTGCACACTTTTCAACCGGGAACTTTTTATTGATTGTAATGTGATGCAGTATTTGTTAATTTTTAGATCCCTTGAATGTTGAACTGTCACCGACCTGGGCACCCGGCGAGCATCCACACCAGCAGCGTCAGGAGCAGCAGGGCCAGCGCGAGGACCTGCAGTCTTGGCGACATCGTCACGTCTGCTTTGTCCGTCTGCGCGGCCGCGGCCCAGTACCCCGTGCTGCAGGACGCGTGCTTATCGGCGCGATAGCGCCCCAGATAGTGACCGGCGCGGCCGGCGCCTCGCGCGCCTCGTCAACGCCCGGGAGGTCCTCGCGGGACAGTCCAATGCTCGCCGAGGAGCACGACGAGCGGGCGCGGTAAGGACGGCAACATGGTTGACCGAACCTTGCCAATCATTCTGACACGATGCCACTCGATTCCATCATGTAGCGAAAGGAGAGAATAATTACTCTCGGCGAGAAAAAGTTTCAAAGGGTTAGCGTTTGCATGACACTTTGATGGACGATTTGCGGAATTTGCGTCTGGACGTCGGAACGTTTTCCAGAAATCGCGCGCCGCCCCGCGCCGCGCCGCGCCATCATAGGGCCGTGCTGGCTAGCTCAGCTCGCCACCGCCCGACGGAGCCGGATAGGCAGTCCCGCCGTGCGGGCGTGTCGCGCGGGCTGGCCGACCCGCCCCGTCCCCCTACCAACGCTCGCTGGCTCACGGCGGTGGTGGGAGGGGATGCATGCCGACTGTAAGACATTACACGCCGTCAGCTGAGCCAAGGAGAACGAATTGAAGTTGATCTAGGTCTGTGTTATTGTCTGTTTGTCCTGTAAGATTACACACAAGGGCGCACTCACGATGAGCGTGGACTCGAGGCGTTGCGATGAAACCCTTGATGAAACTTGCTTAAAATGAAATTTCCTATAATAGGAGCCCAGGGCAGATGGCGGCAGCACACGGCTTCGTCGCCCATTTGAGCGAGTTATGGCCAAAATAACAGTTTTTATTTCAATTACACACAAAACAAAACAACAAAGTTTCACCCAGAAAAATGGTTGTATTTCAATATAAATTAACTTATGCCACCCAGCCCCTGCAGGTCATCCGTCTTGGGTCAGCATACTCACCTCGTTGTGCACGACACGTCACCTCGAGACGTTCTCTGTGGGGGCACCTGTACCCGACGCTGCATGCACCGGCAAACCCATCGCCGACGCCGTCCTCGAGGCCACGTCCTCGGTGCCAGCCGACGCGGTGCTGTTGGCCGTGGCCGCTCTGGCCTGGCGGCGCGCTCTCCGCGCCGCCCTGCGCGCGTACCAGAGCTCGCCCAGGAAAGCGACGAAGGCGGCGCCCTGGCCGATCTCCAGCATGTAGAAGACGGGGTTGACGTGCTTCATGGTGATGGTGACGCGGTCTGGGCCGCGGGCGCGCAGGGCCGCCCACCGCTTCACGTCCGTCAGGCCGGCCATCCAGTAGCTCAGCACCCCCGCCTCGAGGAGTCGCTCCAGGACGTGGTTGGCCTGCTCCTCCAGCGGCGAGCTGCGCACGACACGTCCGACCCCGTGCCCGTCAGTTAGTTGTCTACACCAGTGCCGAATCTTGTCCGGCAAATCGGCGGTAACTCTCGCAAAATCGGGGATTTTCGTTGTGCATTAATTGATTGTAATGCCCCAAACCTTATGAATGTATTATCTTTAAAAAAAACGAGACTGTCGTGTAGTTGGCAACACTGATTTAGAAATTGTAATTCAGCTGTATCAGGACACCTCGTATAGCACTTTAAAGACTGAACTCCGGTGCATTCGTTTCGCAAGGGTCGCTATCGACAGCTAACAGACAACCGATGTATTCAATTTTAGTCCCTGGAGAGCCAGCGCTGCTGCCGCCCCGCCACTCACCCCTTGGGGAAGACGATGAAGGTGACGGGCATGTCTAGCGTGCGGCCAAAGCTGTGGAGGCTGTAGTCCACGGCGGCGCCGTCGTGGTAGCGGTGCTCGAGGCGCTGCAGCGCGTACAGCGTGGCCTGGCGCACCCAGAGCGCAGTGATGTTCCTCCAGACGGCCACCCCGGTGAAGGCCATGCCGAACACGTCCTGCGGGAGGGGCACGGGAAGAGCGTAAAACGACAGGGACCTCCAGCCTCCGGTGTTCACAGCAGCACCCTTGCATTAGTGCGGGGTCTCTGTGTCGGGATTGGGGAGTAAGTAGCCACCACACAAGGGAGCATGCAGAAAGTACTTCCGTCAATCGTCGTTTAGGATCTTGCCAAGCCTCTGCATGCAAGCTCTCATGGCGCCTGGCAGGTAGTCTACAGCTTGCCTGCAGTGCATGCGCGCACTCCGTGTGGCCAGCCCTGAGTCTCGCAGGCGCCGAGCTCCCGTACTTTGCCGATTGAATCTGTTCCTGTTTTCCCAACTCACCGAGCGGCATACGAAGGCGTGCTGCAGCACCTTGCCCAAGGGGCTGTTCGACGCCAGGCTAGACTCGTTGATGACCATCCGCATGTAGTGCAGCACGCTGGGCGACACGTACAAGGGCATCTCCAGCTCGGCCAGCTCCTCCAGCGAATGGATATTGTCATCCTCCACGGAGGTCGTGAGCCTGCTCAGCAGCATGCTCTAGGCAGGTCAGAGTTAGAGGTAGGGTGCTGTTGGCTCCGGTGTGCTCGTGCTCACCGCGTGCTCCCACCTCGTAGGCCGTGTTGAGCACGAGGCAGAACAGGATCCAGCACGTCAGCATGATCCGCAGCGGGCTGCCCGGCTCTCTCCTCCAGCGCGCCGGCGCGGGGACTTCCACCATCGCGGCGGCCAGGACGGTGAGCGCGCCCACCAAGCTGGGCACCGACTCTTCGTCCTCGGCGCCGTCTGCGCGCTGAAGTCTGGAGCTGTGCCGCCACAGCACCCGCACGACGGCGGCAACCACGACCAGGGCGATGTTGACGTACACCCACACGTCGGCTTCCAGCTCGTTGAAGAGGTTGACCAGGCTCGTGGACGGCGCCAGCCCCGTCGGCACTGCGTACTCGTAGTACAAGTTCTGCGCACACGTGTGTGCAGGTTTTAGCGGGGGGCAAAAGGTAGCGTCCTCGGTAGCGTCCATTACGTCCGACCAACTCACGGAGCTCCGTAAAGTTAGCCCGCAAAAATCATCCCGCACGCTAAACATAGGCTTAATCGATAGTTCAGTGATTGTTCAGGATTGTTCAACCCTTAGTTTTGATTGTTTCACCAAGGTTCTCCTTTTTACGGAGCTAACTCACGGTGACGCTACGAGCGTACGCGACGGCGTCGTGCCGGTCAGGGGTGAGAAGGAACGCGCCGACGGCCATATCCTTCCGAGCTGCCACTATGTCACCGACGATGCCCAGCGCGCCGCCGGAGATGCTGTTTTGGTACCTCGTGACCTAAAACAGTATGTGGCTCAAGCTCCTCGGTGCGCCGCCGCCCGCGCGTCCGCTTCCGTCCTCACCCTCGACGCCTTGTCGGTGACGGACACGGAGAAGTTCCCGTAGCGCGCCCACTCGTTGAGCAGGTCCCCCGCGATCCCGTTCGCCTTGCCTCGCCGACTCGAGTACATGGCGAAGGGGGACTCGACACTGACGGCCGCGTGGAAGCGGCAGCCGCGCAAGTCGAGCAGGCGGGGCTCCGTGAACACGGAGCCGCCGCTAAGGCAGCCCGGGGCCGGGGAGGAGGCGGTCGACGTCCAGCTGCACTCGAGGAGCAGCGAGGCGGGCATGTGCCGGCACACTGCCGGGTAAGGACGCATGGTGTAGGCCTGCGCGGTGCACCCACAGACACGTTCTTTACCAGCTCGAAGGCCCACCTTCACTAAAGAATAGAAAAGTAGGCGGGCACGCACCGCGCACTTGGTAGAATCACCGGCCTCCTCGGACACGATGACGAGGAGCCGGAGTAGCCTGCGCCGCCAGGCGGCCTGCGCCACGGCGGTGAGCAGCGCGCGCAGCTCCTTGGAGTCCCTGAGCGCGTGCGGCAGCAGCACGACCACCCGCTGCCTCGGCTGCCGCGGCGGCAGCACGGCCAGGCTGCGGTCCATCCCTCCGCCCACGGTGCCTGCCAGGCACGCCCACGGGGGTCAGGACGGCCGCACCACGGCCCACGCGGTATGGGTGCGCGGCGTACCTTTGGTAAGGACGAGGACGGCGTCGCTGTGCGCGTTGTGCGTGCGCAGGCGCGGCCAGGACGCCAGGGTCGACTGGTTGGCGTGGAAGCCCGGCCCGTGCGGCCGCCGCAGGAGCACGACGGGCACCCCGATCGCGTCTATGATTTCCCCCAGCCACGTCGGCAGCGGCAACGGGCCCAGAACGGACAGCTGGGTCACGCCGGAGAACTGCGAGCGCGCCACGTCCACCATGCACGCCCCCTGCATGGCCTTCCCTGCAGAGGGCAACTTGAATGGCGTCGCCTTGGCCTGGGTGGAGCCCTTCTTGGCCTCCTTGCACCAGACTTGGCCCACCACCATGGACGTGCACACTACCACCACCAACTGAGACGCCCATTGCATCGTCGAGTGACTTCATGCGTGCTCCAGGACGCCGAAGTCCCGCTCGCCAGACTTCCGGTAGAGCCTCCTCCAGCTGGTCATCCTGGTCGCCCGGCAGGACCCCCAGACCTCTGGGGGGCCACGTTGAGCTAAGTGATCGACGACTGTCCCTATGATGAAGGGAGGGCAGCACGTCCCACCTAGAGGTAACGACTGTTTGACAACCCCTCCGAGGCCGAGCGGCGGGAGAAACAGTGTCTCGTTAGCGGCCACATCGACAGGCTCGTCAAGGAAAGGGGCGAGGAACTACTTCAGCCGGGCAGTGGAGTCCCAAGGTTCAAAACATTGGGGAAACGGAGAGGGAGAGGGGGGGGGGCGTAAATTATATCGGACGATGTGATGAATAGCACAAGTCAATGTAATTCGCTTAGGAAAGAACAGGTTGCAAATTAAGTAAAAATTAAAAATTTCTTTGGGTGGAATGATACAGCACAAAATCACTTTAAATTGTCAAAAAGCAACTTCTACAAGTAGCCACCGAATTAATAAGGAAAAGAAAAGTTCAAAAAGCATTTTTCAGATTCCCTGAGAAAAGGATGACTTTCTTCACCGCCGTCTGCCCGCCTTGCGCACACAGGCAGCTGGCTTGCCGGGGGCGGCGGCCAGGTCACGGGCATCGTCGATGCTCTCAAGCACACTGTCCAGGATGTCAGGGTAGAGGCGCTCGCACTTCTTGGCGTGGTCCAGGGCGCGAGCGGCAGCCTGCTTGTCGTGGAGCGAGTTGGGGCGGGCCGCCAGGGCCAGGGCCAGGCGCATGTGCACAGTCTGGCACCTGGGCGCCATCGCGCACACCTTCTGCAGCCCCCTGCGCGCGTTGTCCACGTCGCCGTTCATCTGCTGCACGAGCGCCGCCGTGAGCATCGGGTACACGGGGACAGGGGCCAGGGCGGGCCTGATCGGCGAGTGCATGCCGGCGCAGAGGCTACCGCTGTGGGTAGACAGACCAAAGGGCACACTTTTAAAAACATAAAATTTAACTGGCGTTTTCCTGAAAGGTTTTTATAAAAAGTTTCA